AATATATTTTATTGATTTTTTACAGAGAGGAAGGGAGAGAGATAGAGAGTTAGAAACATTGATGAGAGAGAAACATCGATCAGCTGCCTCCTGCACATCTCCTACTGGGGATGTGCCCGCAACCAAGGTACATGCCCTTGACTGGAATAGAACCTGGGACCCTTCAGTCTGCAGGCCGATGCTCTATCCGCTGAGCCAAACCGGTTTCGGCTAAAAAATAACTTTTAACATGTTATTGGCATAGAGAGATATGAAGGGGAAAATTGTAAGTATACAATATATACAATTTTATGTTCTTAATAAGATGCTGCTAGTGATGATTATGCAATGAATAAAGATTGGGATTTATAACAGTATAATAACTGTAGAGATTGTCGAGAAAACAGAAAGTTTCTTAAAAATCTATAAAGTAATATTCTTTTCCTTCAAGAAATATTAAATCCTTCCAAAAAATCCTCAACAAACTTCACTCTCCTCTTCCCTACTTTTGCTGGACAATTGTTCATATATCAACATATACGATATTTTGTGAAGTTGTCTCAACAAATTAACTTAGGGCCCGTGGGCCTGCTTCCCAAAGTCCATGAATAAATTCCCATGAATCAGCTTTTGGATTTAAAATAAAGTTTTTCTGCGGGAAGTTCTGCATAGCCTTTGCTGATGGTTCAGGACTTACTTGGGACTCCTCTCTGAACGTGGTCCAGGCGGCCTAATGTAATCAGTGCCCTGCTCGTTGAATCTGTGAGTTAACTGTGGGCTTTATGTCTGAGCAGAGTAAACTGAAGCGAGAATTACAACAATTGCGAGATCAAGAAAGCGATAGACTCAAAAGTCATTTTGAAATTCTAAAGAACTTAGAAAATGAAATCTATGTACATGACCTAGAAACAGAAGCCTTGCTCCTGGAAAATGAAAGGTTGAAAAAAGTAAGTTCAAGAGCACTTCAGTGTGCACAGTGGTTCTGCTTATAATCGTTATGAGAGAAGAGCTCTTAAAAGCTTTTAAATGAAGCTTAAAGTACCTACAAGAAGGTGCCCAAATCATACGTGTACAGCCTAATGAGCACACCGGGGTGACCAGGACCCAGATCAAGAAACAAAGCAGTACTGGTGTCCACGTACCCTCCCAGTCCCTTCTCGTCCCCGACCGCCTCGCAAGGGCAGCACCCGACTGGCTTCTAACACCACAGACCAGTTTTGCCTGTTTTTGAACATTATACATGTGGAATGGGACAGTGCGCACTTTTTTTTGCTCAACACCATGCTTGTGAGGTTCATCTTTATTGTCGGGTGCCGTTGAGGTTCCTTCATTCTTAGTTCTGGGTAGGACTCGATTGTGTGACTCCACTACACTTTATTTGCACCGTTGACGGGGGTTCAGAGTTTCCCCTGTGGGCTGTTACAAATAGCGTTGCTAGGAACATTCTAGTACATGTTTGTTTGGTGAGCATATGTACGTTTTTCTGTTGGGCGTACACTCGAGTGGAATCACAGAGCCATGGGGTGTATGCCGCCCGCTTTAGTGCACAGTGCCGGTCTCCCAGAGACGTTGCAGTGATGGCCACTCTGGCGTTAATGTATGAGAACACCAGCTGTTCCGCATTCTCACCGAAGCTTGGTCTTTTCCAACGTAACCATTCTGGCGGGTGTGCGATGGGGTCCCAGTATTTGTATTTTCCTGATGGCGAGTGAAGCGCCTGTCCATGTGTTTTGGCCACTTGTATAACCTCTTTGCGAAGTGCTTGTTCTGTTGCCCATTTTAAAAATTAGGTTGTCAGTCTGTTTCATATCGATTGTATGTTTTTCCCCCAGTGAACCATCGTGACCTCAATGGGTCAGGAAGTGGGTCAGTGTATCCCAGCTGTTTGCGCAGTCCCTCACATGTAAGAGGGATTCGGTCCCATGGGATGATCCCAGTAACCTTATAACGTGGATAATATATTCTGCCCCTTGTATAGAGGAGGAAAGTGAGACTCTGCATTTGTAATAATTTTTTAATAGTTGGAAAAATAAAAGCAGTCCTACAGCAATAAGACTCTAAGTAAGGAGAAAATTCCTTTAGCTCTCTGGGAGATTGTTGTCCTTAGTTCAATGACAACACTTTTCCCACCAATAGCATGTGTATTTTTTTGGTAGAATTAAAATGGCGTAAAAGGTACCAAGGTACTTTGGGAAGGGAAATGTGTTCCATGGAGCCCAGGTACCATCATCAGTACCCCCCCCCCCCCCCCCCCCCCCCCCCCCCCCTTTTCTTTTTTATTAGAACCAAACTCATAAGGAATTCCATCCACTCATGGAAATAGTCCACTCTATTGTCTCCCTATCAAGGTGATATATTATTTATTAAAATACTTGGCATGTTATTGCTATTTTGGTAATGCATAAGCAAATGAATGCCTATGTCATTCTAAAAGTTCCGCTTTTGGATTAAGTGCCAATCTACTGATTCCTCTGGATGACCCTGTGCTTTTTTCTCATTCACTCACCATTCTGTTTTGCTGGTTATGTATCTTCACTCAACACACACTCTGAGCATCCACTGAGTCCCAAACCCTGGGGAAGGTGCAGTGAATAGAGCGGAATAAGGCACTGCCTGAGCCCTCGGGAAGCTCACCCTCGGGCCGAGGAGATGGGCCTATAAATAGATCATTACAAGTCAGTGTGTTAACTCATTTGAGAGTTACGTGAGGCCAGCTGAACTAGGCAAGTCTACAAACAGTGATCCACGTTCAAAGAGAGGCAGGAATGATGATTTGGACTTGACTTTGGTTTACTATAATGTCTGCCGCCAAGCCATGCGAAGGCTGACACAAGGTCAAGGCTGCGTGAGTAGACCCCGTGCCACTGGGGTTAAAAACAGTTCTATGTCATCTCCTTCTATGGTGGATGCTGCTTCTTATATTTTTTTCAGTAGTTTCAGTCTCTACTATTTCTCTCTTGAAACTGGACCAGTGCCACGTTTACATCCCAAAGCCCGTCCTTTCAGAGTTCCCAGAGACGGTAGAGTTCCTGAGTAGTGGGTGGTCAGGAGAGAAAGTCATGACTTTAGTATCCCAACCACTGTTACCACCATCACCAGCCCAGTGAGCGGTTCTGTGGGGTCTTCTACCTCAGGAAACCCTCTCCCTGATCTTATGCTGAGTTCTTCCCGTCAGGCAGCGTCGTTGCTGTGACATTCACTGCACACCATTTTGCATAAGGAACATTGTGTGTGTGTGTGTGTGTGTGTGTGTGTGTGTGTGTGTGTGTGTGAGAGAGAGAGAGAGAGAGAGAGAGAGAGAGAGAGAGAGAGAGAGACGGTACATTTAGAATACCGTTTAATTTCTTCTATGTAAAATTATATTCAGATAGTATTCTACGACATGGCTGTACGATGTTTTTTATTTATCCACTAGAGGCCCAGCGCACAAAATCGTGTGTGTAGGGTCCCTAGGCCTAGCCTCCTGCGATCAGGGCCGTCTTCTGCCCGTTTGCCAGTCCCCAGGCCGAATGCCACCTCCGCCGCTGAGCTGTCAGGCCACTGGGATCACCAGCTCATCCCTGGCTGCTCGGGGGCTCAGGCCTGTGGGAAAGCTTGTGCCTGCAACTTTACCTCCATGCACGTGTGCCCTGCTGGCCGCTGATGGAACATGCTGCCCGCTCAGGGCCGCTCATGCAGGTGCTGCCGCCGTTGCTGCTGCCCCTGCCGCTGCTTCCCCTCCCGCTGCTGCCCCTGCCGCAGCTGCTGCGGC